TTTAGGAACATGACAGAGGTATTCATTAAACATCCAGGAGAAGACATTTTCTGTAATTGCCTCTGCTGAATAGTAATACTCTTTGCTTTTTTGAAGCAAAGAAATTAAGTCTTATCTCAATTCAGGTTGATGTAGAGACTTCTCAGCTACCATGACTTAAAAGACTGGTCATTCTTCACACAGATGTTTCACTTTCTTCTGTTGTTTCATTCTAAAGTAGAACTAAATCAGAATGTCCAGGTGAGTTGTCTCCACAGTTCAAGTCATTGTACCAGCTTCATTGATTAATGTCCTCACCTGTTTAGAAATGACCAGTAGAATTTAATTGCTAATGAAATCTACAGTCATGACATTTATTTTCTTCCAGTTCTTAAAACTTTAGCACGGAAAGCACCTTAAATCACTAAAGAAAATTCAAGACCAAAATAATCAGCTTCTCCAGTTTCGCCTGTTTTTAAATATTCACCTTAGTGCATCCCTCCCCCAAAAGTTCCAAAGCCTGTCACACCATTTATAACCAAATGAAAAGCAAATAATAATTGGGTTATTAAATTTAAAGTTATTGAAATTTAAACAAAACTCTTTCCTGACTTTCTTTTCTGTGTTTAAGAATTATCAGATTGGTTGACCTTTAGAACCATGCTAAATACTTGAGTAAACCTTACCTTAAGTGAGCTTCAGTGAGAACTGTAGCTGTATGTCATATACTCCTTTATCTCTCACCTTTCCATCTTTTTTGAGGCAACTGATGGGGCATTGGATAGGATTCTGGTCCTGGAGTCAGGAAGACTTGAGTTCACATGTGGAATCAGATACTTACTAGCTGGGTGACCCTGGGCAAGTTATTTGACCTCTGTCTTAGTTTCCTCATCTGTAACATGTACATAATAATAACACCTATATGGAAAGATTATATGAGGATCAAATAAAATAATATTTGTAAAAAGCACTCAGCATAATGCCTGATACTTAATAGGAGCTACATAAATACTCTTTCCTTCCATGAATGCATATTTTTAAAGATAATTTTGACTTGCACTTTTTTCCTCCTATTGTTATAGTTGTTTATGATATGTGCGATTTTGTGATCAGATATTTTTTCCTGTGCCATATCAATTTCTTGGAACTCATTTTGGCTAATTTCAAAATGAACGTTGACATTAGTGAGTTTCATATTTCTGCTATTATGCCAACTAGCAGTTATAAAGTCCAAGGTTTGGCATGTGTTGAGCCTTGCAAATAAACATAGATAGTGTGCTCATTAACAAGGCTTAGTGGAGTGTGTCACCCACACACTCCAAATGGTAATAGTTGCAGGTCTTTAGCAATATTAATTTAGTTATGACAAAGAGCCAGTTTCTGATGTACCTCCCATGGCTGAACATCCACACACATCTCCCTGTCATTGCTTGGGTTTTCTGCATCTTTAGACCGTAAGTTCTCTTAGAGCCAAGATGACTTATTTTTGTTACTCTGTGGTCCCTAGAGTGTCTTCAGCTGTGCTGTGAACACATGGGGTTCAAAGAGGATGCTGATGGATCAGATATACTGTGAAGTAAGCACCCACCAGTCATCTTTTGGTCTTAGCTAAGAATTTTCTTGCCTTTGTTAGAATATATCAGACTTTGAGCTTCTATCATTTCTTTTCTCCCACAGTTTTCAGTGGATGAATAAGTTAAATTAAATAAAGACAACCAGCCACCAGCCCTTTATGGGGTTATTTTCTGAAATATACTTTTATCTGAGGAGAAATGTGTTTCTTTGGACTAATTGCTAGGAATACACAAACACAGAATATAAACACTCATTACATAACTGTTATTTTTCCAACTGTCAAAATGAGAATGTATTGCATAGTACATCTTAGAAGGAACTTAGAAAAAACAGGGAATGTAGAATGTCAGACATGAGCTGCCAAAGAAATGGCAATTCAGTTCTGCGTTATCTCTGATGGATTATTCCAAGGTCATCCTATTTCCTCCTCTATTAGGAAATAGAAGGTTTTGATCATTGAATTCTTTCACATACTGTGGTTACTGTTAATATTTTCATAAACACAGGACTCAGAGGACCTTGTCATCCTAAAATGCAAATTTAAACTTCTTGTACTGGGGACCTGGTGAGGAACAATGGAAGGGAATTACTCACTTTGCAAGATCTTTTTGGAGAATGAAAAGGACAAAGGTGGGATCTAGGAGTAACAAGGGCATTTCCAGTCAGTGACTTATTTGGAAAACATATATAGCGCCTTCTCTCCTTCCTTTCTTCCTCCACCACTTGCACACACTTTGGACAAGAGTAGGAAACACTTAGTAATGAGAGAAAGTGGCTAGGAAGGAGGAAGTGAAAGATAAAAGTAGGAACAGGTAATGTCCTGAGGTTTTACTCAGAAAATAAGGAATGGTTGACAGAAATTTGAATTAAGGCAGTTAGAGATCAGAGGAGGAAAAGCATGTTCAAAAGTCACATTTTGTTCAGAGGCTGGAGAGAGTAAAATGTGAATCTTGGCATAATCCTCACATGTCTAAAAAAACCTTAAAATAACCACCACCACCTCTCAGCCCTTTTCTATATACACCCCAGGTAAGGAGCATCTTTATTTTTTAAATCCAGGTGCACAGTAATAAGAAGGGGGAGGGAAACAACACAGTGATCACCCTTCCTTTTAATGAGCATTGCTACTGCAAGGGGGAAAAAATTAGCATCATCCTGAATTTTATGTGATGTCAGTTAAATGAAGGTGTTTTATAGCACTTTACAACAAATTAGAATCAAGTAAATTGAAAATAAGCCTAGCAGCTGGGAGAAGTAATCAGGTAAGTGGCCAGTTTTGCTATTTTTGCTTTGAGCTGAATAAGAGAATTTGAATTTCTAATGTCCCTGAGGTACAGGATTCACAACTGGAGAACATAGTTCTTAGGGTGATTGTTTTAAATAGCTAACAGTTCAATCTTGCCCTCTAGTACACAAGCTCACTTTTTGAAGCTGCTTGGAAGATCAGCAGTGGTATATGTATGCACCCAAGCAAGCACTGGCTGTTGGCATAGGATTGAGCCCGCTTTGGGATGGAACAGCTATAGCAGAGTGGAAATAAATGGCCTGGAACAAGGTCGTAAATCATCAGTATTAACTGAGAGACTGTTCGTGATGGAAAGGAGCAAAATTCAAATGATGACTTTATGGCTGCCCATGAAACAGCCCAAATCAGAGAAGCCATTAGAACGTTTTAGTTCTTAAGAAAATGAGCGCTGTGCTCAGTTGCCGCAGTTTGCATACAGTCAGAATGCCCTGACTTTAAAACACACAGATTTTTTTTTCTTTTGCAGAAAATATGCAGGGAAAAAAAAACTGTTGTTTCCTGGTAGGTAGATGTATAGGTTTGTCATTCAGAATACTCTGGGGATGGGGAGAGGGAAAAGATTGACTCTGAGATAATACAGGATACTCATCACTGATGGTTTAGAATGAAAGGTGGTATGTTGGGGTGGACACTAGGTGGTGACGTGGATAGAGTGCTGAGCCTGTTGTCAGGAAGACTCATCTTCCTGAATAAGTCATTTAACCCTGTTTGCCTCAATTTCCTCATCTATAAAATGATCTGGAGAAGGAAATGGAAGAACACTCCAGTGTCTTTGCCAAGAAAACCCCAAATGGGGTCATGAAGGGTCAGACATTACTGAACAGCAATGGAAATGACTGAAGAACAATGTTGAAGAAGACAGTTGTTATTAGGTTTATTAGGGAGAAATGAGTCAGATTGAACATACGTTCCCCCTCCCCTTTTTTTTTTTTGCCTCTGGTTCCCGGATGAAATATAATAAAGAAGTCAATTGACTTGCACAGAGATCTGGCTTGCTATATTTTTTTTTTCATTTGACCTAAAGGCCAAACTTTAAACAGGTCACACTGTACTATTTTAAGTACCCACCTCTTCAAGGAATTATTTCAGTATTTTACAATTGGATCTGGAATTATTTTAGCTTTACTTTAAAAGTAGAATTGTAGAATAGGAAGCTCTTTTTTTTTCTACTTTTTGGAAAATGAACTATAATCGATATCTTTCCTCAAACAAATGATGTGTTTATCTGATTATAATGATTTAGGATTTATGTTTGGTAAAGGCCAAAATGAGACTGCTGTCATTGTCTTTTTTATAAATCAGTCAGAATATGTTTTGCTAGGGAAAATGGGGGAAAAAAACTATTTCTTTACTAATCTATTCCAGTGTATGATGATATCATGGTTTTTACATTTGTTTTTTAAAAAAAAAACCACACCTGTATATTTGTTCAAAGAGTGTGTGTGTGAGTGACTGTATGTGTCTTTCAGTATTCCTGCTAAAATGATGAAGATGCAATCAATTGGCATTTTTGAACCTGAAATGACAAAATCAAATTCTGACCATGTTGGGCACAGTATGATACCATTCAAGATTGTACTTAGATGGTTTGACAAATCACTGTGATTCAAAGCCTCAACATGTATGCCTGATTGGTAGAAAGTATCTACTGTTTTTTTGCTACCTTTGTTAGGAGCAAATATGAGAAATCAAGCAACTTCATAAGTTACGAGATCAGATGTGTTTACTCTCTGCCCCACCCCTGTTATTTCCAGAAGAAGGAATGATTTTAATATCTCTTTGTTTTATGTCACCCTCTACCCACTAATGAATCTCTTCAGCCTGGTTGTTTATGAGGCCAAGCGTTTGAATCATTGTGGACCAACTTCATTCCTATTTACTTAATTTCTTGTTTTATAGAATGGAGTGTGTTTGGAGAGTGTTATGGTTTATTTAAGTGTGCATGAGCACGTTGTCAAAAAATCCATTTGGTCTGAATACTACCCAGCCTATTTGGCCCAAGAGCAATTTGGACCATGCAAATACAACCTCAAAGTGGCTGTGAGGTCTGTGAGAAAGCCATTCTGATTCCGTGATTGGAAAGCCAGTTGATACTACAAGCCTCTCATCTACCCCATCCCCTCTGTTTTTTGCTTTGCAGTTGCTGCGAATTTGCAGAAGATTGTAGATGACCCCAAAGCATTAAAAACATTGACATTTAAGCTGGTAAGTGAAAGGCTGTGAAAAGTGACTCAAAAAGCCGGTAATGAAACAAATGCAAAGGACGTGCTGCCATTTTGTTCCCCGTTTTTCTTACCTTTATTGTTTTCTTTGGAAATCCATTCCTGCCTTTAGCACCGTCCTTAGTAGTGTAGAATAGTTTTCTTGACAAGAAAATGTATCTTTTTCAATAAGCCCATTTTCCTCTTTTTACATTCCTGGATCAATTAAAATAATAACTTACTTATGAGTCCTGGAGGCTGTGCCCAGTCTCTTCTTTGGGGAAGCATTGCTTGACTCTTTGTTCAAAACCATTGTGGATCCAGAGTGACATCCTTCTGAGGATGCTTCCAAACTGTGGTACAAGCAAAGTCCTATGAAATATTCAAAATAGAGAGACAGTTGCACAGAAAATTTTGGAAGTACTTGGAGGAAGTTGTGGCTTTAGCTCCGCTGATGCCTGATGAACAAAAATGTAACACAGGGTGTTCCCAGAGTCTTAGTGCACTAAGACTTTGGGGACAACCATGTATTGCAATGATAAGTTTTCAGTGACCATAACAAAGTCAAGAGAGATTTCAGTGGCTTTGTATTTCCCAGTAAATCAAACACCATTTCTGATGTGGCTGCATAAAATAGGCTTTCCATCTCATCCTGAAGTTTCACTGATGGTTACAAGGTAGCTGGAGCTGGGGAAAGATGGTTGCAGGGGAGGGCCAGAGTTAGCTAGTTTCCATTTTTCCCCAGTAGCATAATGTAATCTTGAAGATAGGACTGGTTCTATTTTTCTCTATGTATTCACAGTACCTGCACAGTACCTGATGCATAATAGGCAATTAATAAATGTTGAACAGACCTGCCCAAAAGAGTTCACTTTAAAACTATAAATCAAAAGCATGTCAAAACAATACCAGATATTTTTTTAAAATGTAGATAACCAAGACTTGACTGTGAATTACATTTATTGATGATCTGTATTTTTCATTCCTTGTGAAAATTAACTAGAAAATGTGCTTAGCCAAAATTGCAGAATGATTAGTTACAGTAAATGCCAGGCTGCTGCCAATTAGCACTCTGGCTTTCAGCCCTCTGGCTTTCAGCCCTTATCTGATTTCAAGTGACTGGGCCGCATTTAAAAAAATGACAACAACTCAGTTTTCAAAGAGAAATATGTAGTCTCTGAGGAGTTTTACATTGTTTTGGGAATAAAAGAATGTTGTGTTTAGATGTAAAATGAGAAATTAAAGATGGGAAAACTTATTTGCCTCTGTGTACCCTCGGGGATTAATACCAGTCAGTAATCTATTTTAAATGCTCTTTCAGGCCCCTTCAAGCCCTAAAATTCTAGAATTTTGTATTTTTTTTCCAGCTCTCCTGTAATTTTTAAAGTCAGCAGATCATTCGTTTGAGATATTTCTGGGCAGATAGAACCAAAAGCTGACATTTCCATAGAAGAAACAATATGATGGAGCTGGGATTTAGACCCACGTTAATATTTATAGGTTGGATGATCTTGGGCAAGTCACTTAATATGGTTGAGTCTTAGTTTTCTCATCCTTAAAATGGGAAAGATAATACTTTTACTGCCTACTTCACAGAGTTATTAAGAAAGCATTATGTCAAACTTAAAGCATTACATAAAAGTGAACTGCTATTATAAACTAATATTTGTTCATCTTAGGAGTTATATTAGAATTTTATATGTGAAAATAGTACATCTTCAGAACACTTTCCCCTTTAAAAGTTAGCTAATTATTCTATACTTAGTTAATTTATAACTAATTAACATATTTACTGGGACAGGAGAGTCCAGTTTAGTTTTAACTTTATCCTTGCTTGACCTTTTAAATGATCAGATAACAGTCTCTCTGTCTCCCAGTTTTCCCACCTATAAAATGGGAATTATTGGCACCCATCTTTCTCCACTTTCTTACAGACACCTAAAATATGTGCCTTTGAGTAGAAATTATGAAGGCCTTTAAAGGGAAGACAGTGTAACATAAGCCCCAGATATGCTTTGCAGATTGGGGTTTTTTTTTCCCCTCCCCTATACATTTCTCTAAATGATATTGAGTCACCTGGCATAACAGTGAAACCAGTATAGAAGACTGCTTGTCTTGGAAAGATCCCCATGTAAAGGACCAATCTTCTTAAAACATTTTGGACTAAAATCTGTAGCTTGTGATTGAAACCTGCCAGTATAAAAAAGGCCACTGTTTTAACAGAGAACAATCTCCTGCTTTCTTGGACCATTATAGTCTGATGTTGTGGAAGTGTTGCTCATTTCTTATTCATTCCCTCTTAGGACTGATTCCTTGTAATATTGTTGCTATCCATAGTGGTTGACATGGGTTGAGATTGAATTTCATTTGTAACTTTCCTCCTGTGTTCCTAACCAACTCGACTATATTGATCCATCTCTCCTAGGGGAGAGTCAAGAGATGTTGTCACATAATGCTTCTCCTTCTTCACCAACCCCCTCCCCCTAGAGCCTGAATACTTCACAGCCTAATAGTAATTGCAGTAAATGTAATTGGTCCTTTTAGCTAAATGAGAGTTAAGATGTTAAATGAAATTAGGCACAGAAGTGAAGTGGTCTTCTTTCTAACTGTGCTTAAAATGATAGGTTCCTGCTTTTATTGTGGACTGTTGGCCAACATGAGATCCTCTAAATGGGGTCAGTGTGACCTGTTTGTCGGCTGATTTTCCATAGGATTTGAACGGCATGATAAAATTGCCTAGTTTCAAATGCATTTGAATAGGCCCAATTATTGTAGTATTTTGGCAGCAGTGCCCTTCAAAAGCCTAGTGCTGCTTTTGGTCCTGTTCTTTTAAAAAAATTTGCAAATTGTTTAACATATAATTTATAATGTTATTTTGATTGGTTTTGAAGGACAGCTTTTCCAGGTTCAGGAAAATTTTGAATATGTGGTATCTGAAATACTGGTAGATCATGTGGTTTTCCATTTGTTTCACCTATCTGATGTCAAATATTTGTTGAAATGTTATACATACAGACATATGTTTTATGTTACATACATACACGTGTTAAATCTGCATGTGCATACATGTATTCTTGTATGTGTGTGTGTATATGTACATACATACATATATACGTATAGTTAGTACAGGAAAAAGATAAGAAATAAGAGAATAGAAATAACAGCCACAGTTTCATTTTTGTTTAATTCATTAGACAAAATGGTTGAAGAAGTCCAATACTTGTATTTTGTGGAGGTAGGAACAATAAGGTCCAAAGCTTTTTTGCATTCATTATTTCCAAAGAATGGATGCCATAGGAGGTCTTCCTGCTGAAGTAAAATGTAGAGTGTGTGTGTGTGTGTGAGCCCAGTATAATTTTATTGCTTATTTTGAGTATCCTTTCTAGATACAAAAGTGATTTTTTTGTTAGTCATTTTATTCTAGTCTTCATTCATCTCTCCAAAGTACAGTATTCTGGAAACACCATATTGACTGTTTTTTTTGTAATTGGAAATAAATAATATTTAATTTACTCTTGAAGGCAGATCAAGTGCATGTTAATGATGTCTGATTTATATGTGTTTGACCTCTGCACCATAGCCTTTCTTTTGAAAGGTAGGATTAAATTTTAGACACTAAACATTGGAATAGAAATTGCAGAGACAGTTCTGTCACCAACAGGAGAAACTAAATCACACCAGGTTGCATGACCTAATGCAGTGTTTCCAAAAGTGGGAAGGAGGTTACGGGGAGAATAGGGAAAACAGAATTTGAAAAACCAGGATGGGTTCAGAAGGATCTAGTTCTGTTAGGCCCCAGAGAAGCAGTGGGTGGAAGTTACCAAGAAGGCAGTTTAAGCTTAAGGTCATGGGGGCAGTGGGGAAAACCACTTCCTAGCTGTCCACAAATTAGAATGGGCTGCCTCTCGGTGTGGTGGGCTCTCTCTCCTTGGAGAACTTCAGGCCGAGGCTGGAGAGCCACTTGTCAGGTATAGCATAGGGGAGATTCCTTTTGTATGTTGGTTGGACAAGATGGTTTCTGAGGTCTCTTCCAACTCTAAAATTCTGTGAGTCTTTGAGCTAGAAAGACATTAGTTGGGCATTAGCTTGAAGAGCGATGTTCTCCCAACAGGCAGTCCTCCAGCTTGCCGGGGCCTGAAATGCTTTTGGGTCCTGATGGCAGGGTTCAGGTCTCACCCTGAAAAACGACACTCATTTGATACGGCATCACTGATCGAGACACAGTTTTATTTCCCATAAAACACAATCTACGGAGTTGGTACAGGCCCCTGAGTTCAGACATGAAACTTGTGAAACTGGCTCAAGTAGGGAGCAGAAGAGCAGGGTCTTCTTTCAGTGAGGGAAGGGGTGGCTGCCACAGAGACTGACTTCTCTTCTTCATATTCCAGGGCTGACATATCAGGTAGAATTGGTGCATTAGTAATGTGATTTAAGAAGTACTAAGAAAGTATATACACACATACATACACACTTTTAAAAACACTTCAGTATCACTTACCATGTGCCAGGCACTGTGCTAAGTGCTTTATAATTGTCTCATTTCATCCCCACAACAACCCTGGAGAGGTAGGGGCTATTATTACCTCCATTTTACAGTTGGGATAACTGAGATCAGCATTCAGGGAATTTGCCCAGGGTCACACAGGAAGTGTCCAAGGCTGGATTTAAAGTCTAATTTTCCTGATTCCAGGTCCAGCCTCTATCCACGGAACTACCCAACTGCCCTACTCATTCCTATTCACCCTATAATATCTAAAATTCTACCAGCGAGGGATATATTTGGATTCAGTCCTAAATGTTCTTTAAAATATGCCCTGGAAAGTTTATAGGGAGTTGTTAATATTCATTTACACTTTAGTATGACTTAGTTTAATCAGGTTGCTTTTCTTCTGAAGCTGAAATCAACTTGGTGAAGAAAGAGGAGTTTTGTTTGGAGGTGAGCAAGAAGAGATAAGTAATTGGGTAATATTGTTGTTTCTCTTGGGAGAAAGCCATTCTGTGGAGGTGTCTAAGTAAGGAACTTTGGTCACTATGAGGTCACTGCCTTCCTGGAGGACTGGGGGGAAAAACAGCCCTATGAGGGAGGAAAGCTTGAAAGAAAGGAAAGTAGGGAGATTCTGAAGACTAATATTGCCTGCCTTGAATGGGGGTGCTGGGGAAGGGGAGCCTTCTGCATGGACTCTGAGGATTATGTATATAATTCACCCTTTGTGACTACTAGCTTTATTACCTCATTAAAGGCATCACCATCAGGCCATTGAGTCTTCCACAGGCTAGGGAACTGTGTATCTTGCTTCTATCTCTAGCTTGATTTCCTTTTTCTTGATGTACTAGCCCAGTGTCAAACATGGTGCGGTCATTTGTTGCCATTTTAACATTTCATAACCATCACCACCATGATGGTAATTGTCAAACATTTATTGCGATCCCATCATAGGGATTCCATGATAAAAATGTATAGTTCCCTACCCCATCCCACTCTGTTTTCTGGTATGCTTGAGGGCTTTCAATTTTAAGAGTTATAAAGGGGAAAGGGGTAGAACTTAGGTAAGGGAAAAAAGTGATAGTATAATGAAAAGAGAGGAGATGAAAATACTGACAACATTTTAAAACATTTTTTCTGGTAATGGCCATAGATCTATGCTGAACTGTCCATATGCTCTGGCACAATTAGAAAATGCTGATAAGGGTTATTTAGAGGTTCCTCATGTGGCCATGGAACACAAAACCAACTGGTCCACATAGGTATTGAGGAACAAGGTATATGGAATGGCATAGGGGCTCTTGGGATCAGAACAGTGAAAAATATGAAGAGAATGGCAAGGTCCAGGGCCAGGCATAGTTTTCTTAGGGGCTGCAGGGGTGAAGTTTGGATTCAGTCAAAGAACCACACTTGAAGACCTATAGGGCCACATGTGGCCTTCATGCTGCAGGTTCTTCACCCCTGGCTAGGCTGACCACCTCACCATGAATTTGTACCTTGCTGCCTCCAAGCATATTTCTAACTCCTGTCGTCCTTCCCCAGCTATTTCAGGTATGTTGCAGAAAGTTATGCCAGTCTTTTTCAAGTAGTAGATATGATAGTGTTATAGAGAAAATGTAAATAATATAAAATCAATAATACTATTAAGATGGGATTGAATTTTTAAAAAGAATTTCAAAAATATTTTACTTAAAAATTCTAGAATAACTAGGTAGCTTATCATGAAGGAACATGGATTTACAAATCCACCTGCATGTACTGTTTAATGGATCCACTTGATACACTGTCTAAACACATATACCAACCAGTGCTAAGTAGGTTAGTTGTGATGAATTGGAAGGAGATTTAAAGGGCTCGTTTCCATGGGAGACTAATTGTTGTGACAGTAGTTTAGTAGGAGGTTTGCCAAGAAAAGGGTCATATGGTGTTATTGATGTTTAATTCATCATTCCCCCACTATTTATCAATCATCTCCCGCGCCCACCCCCCCCATTTCTTGAACAGTATGGTGTCCAGATCTTGATTTATGCACCCAACAGCATGAAGGGAGCAGCTTACAAAAGGTGATCAGCATGTATGTGGAATGTTAGGGGGAAAAAATTAAGGACATTTAGAAATCAGTCAGTTCCGTATTGGGAGTTTTTGATGACTCTCACAGATTTTTGAAGTAAGAAAATAAAGTTGAGTGTTTGATATAATGGTACTTTGGCCAATTTTAGGCTGTAAATACCTCCTAAGAAATTTCTAAGAAATAGTATCTTACAGAATATATTTTAGGATAAACATTCGATGGTATTTAAATATTAGCTATTTCAATTAAAGATTGTCAGTTTTTACCCTGGTCCTTTCTCAAGATGAGCTAATTGTTGTTGAAAAACAGATTATATTTGAGGGAAAGATTAGTTGGAGCCTTTCCATTCATTTTTGTGCTCTTCCATTTTTAATTAACAACATTTAAGCTAAAAGCATCTTTTAAATGTCAAATTTAAATTATTTAGTGGAGAAGATCGGTGTGCAGTTTATTAGAAGTAACCAAGGCCACTTCCTTTATTTGTAAGCTGAATCAACAACATGTAACAAATCTCTTACCACCACTTTACTGGTCCCTCTAGAGTCTGTCTATAACCTGATCAATTAAGTGTGCAGTTATGACACTTAGAAAGAAAAACATAAACCATTATTGAAAGTTTTTCTCTTCTTTTCAGGCTTCTGGCTGCGATGGGACGGAGATCCCTGATGAGGTAAAGCTGATTGGCTTTGCTCAGTTGAGTGTCAGCTGATGCCTGTGGCTGGATATCATCCTCAGCCCCCCATCCCATCTTCATCCTCAGCAAAATCAGAAGATTGTGAAGAGACCTGCTTAGATGAGAAGGGGGAAAAGAATTAAACACAACAACCCCGCCATCACCATCACCACCACCACCCCACCTCCACTCACCGAGTTCTTCATCATGCTCCAGCAATTCACATCAGAATCAACAAACCCCACAGCTGCACAATTGCTGCTAATTTGTCCAAAAGCTATTCATTGTTCTGAGCAACCAATTTGGATCTCCCCAACTGAAACCAATCTGGAAATGCACTCAGGTGGCCCTATTTATTGGTAATAAAAGGAATTTTCTATCAGAAATGTATTTCTTCTTTCATTGTAAAATTTCTGTGATAATACTTTAATTGTACGTCTGACAATACTGCCTCTTTTATGTTGTATTTAGAAATTAATATACTTATAAAAATTAAGATTTATTAGCCAAACTTGAATTCTAGTTTTAAAACTGACTGTGAATTTTATTTTTCATATATTTATGCTTTACACATCTTACCTATAAGGAAAACAGTGGTTTGATTATGTGCAGTAGCAGTTAATCTCCTGTTATTTAAAGAAAAAAAGTGTCAGGTATATCTTTGGAGTATTTGTAACTTCTAGTTTTTGAAATGACCTAATTAGGAATTAGGGAGCGTATTATGTTGGTTTGTTTGTCTATAAACCAATCCACAATCTGATTGTCTCTAGGGAGTGGGAGGTGCCTTGAAGACATTAATATTAAGAATGTGCCTGAGGCTGCTTTCTTCTAGAATAGTCTCAGTTCTAGGAGTTTCATATGCATCCAGTCAAATATATATGTTTGGCTTAAGTTTTGCTTTCCTGGGTCTTCTATGAGCTAGAATACCGTATGATGTTACCATCAAGTTAGACCGCTCACTAACTCTGCCTATCTGTGATTTGCGTTCTTAAGTGATAGGGCTTGTTTCTGTAAAGATTAAAAACTTGAAAAACAAAAGGAAAAAAACAAACAAGAATCTGAGCTTTACTTGAAATTCTGCAGAATACCGAGATGGAAAAGAAAATAATAGAAAGGGCTTTGTGCAATGACTTAAAAGGTAATTTGCTGTTAGGTTTCAAGGATAAATGTTTTTTGGCCCAAGTAGCCCTCTGCTTAACCTCTGACACATCTAGATATATATTACAGAACTAGTAAAACGTTAGGATTTTTAAAATTGGAATATCCTGTCAAGGAGGTAGACTCCTTGAACCCTACCATGACTCTTTCCTAGCTAACTCTGGATATGGCAGCTCTTTAAAATGTACTTCAAGACAGCCAATAGATATTACTAAGAAAAGTTATTTATAATTGCCTTGTCCTAATTGTTAAGGTGTTTTAGAGCCATTTGCATACAACTTAATGTAATTTCATTCCATTCTATTGTTTACACAACGATTACTCAAAGATGACTGCAAAGGTAAAAGGAGAATAAAAAGCATATTGCACAAAAGATGGCGTTTGGGGCTTCATTCTTTTAGATGTTCCTTTGCATTGTTGCCCTCATGTTACCTAACATAGAATTTAATACTTCAGGCCTTTCTGAAATCAGTGTGTGAACTCCTTCTACCAGTATAAATTCCCATCTTTCTTTGACTTTGTAATTCCTAGTTCCTAGGGCTATAAATTCCCATCAGTCCATGGGAAGGAAGCCAGTGATGAATCTCTCTAAACTTAGCTAAAATGATAGTAGTAATAATAATGATAGCTAACATTTATATAGTGTTTACTATTTTCCAGGCCCTATACTAAGCATTTTTATGATTATCCTCTGATTTGATCTTCACAACAATCTTGGGAGGTGGGTTCTATCTATTATCCTTATTTTACAGATGAGGAAGCTGATGCGAACAGAAGGTGCCCAAGGTCACACAACTAGTAAGTGTATGAGGTTGGATTTGAACTCAGGTCTTCCCAACTCCAGGCCCGGTGCTGTGTCCACTGTGCCACCCAGCTGTCCTCTAGTGCTCAGATGATAAGCAAAGAGTCCATCGTAAGACCCTCAATTGAAACCTTCCAATCCTGTTTGGACTTGCCAAAACTTATACTCCATAGGCCCAGCCCTTGAGAGAGCCTAGGTCACTGCCAAATCACAAGGAGATATTAGAATCAGATTTTCACAGAGATGGGGAACCTAGGTGGGATATCTTTTCCTTTCTCCCATCATCCCATCCACTCCCACAAGAAAATGCCTTGAAAAAATGACAAACAGTAGGCATTCCAGAGGGAGGAAAGGACATTTGGACAGAGAGCCATTTTGCAGATTACCTCAAATTATCTGAGAAAGACAAAAAATGTATCCTGCAATCAGACGGATGTTCTCTGAATTAGAATCACAGAATTGTGGAGTGTGTGGGAAAATAGAGACTTTTTTTGTCCACCCTTTTCATATTACAGATCAGGAGCCTGAGGCCCAGGGAAGAAATAAGACTCGGCCCAGAGGAGTGGGAGTCAGAGATATCGCATTCCATCTTCAGCTCAGTGACCTTCAGCAAGTCACTCAAATCTCTCAGGTCCTTCTGTTTCCTCATCTGTAAAATCATTATACTATATACCAGATGAGCTCTAAAGTCTCTTCCAGTTCCAAATCTATCATCATATGAGACACATGACGACTAGATGGCAATGTTTGGACACAACCCCTAGCACCAGACCCATAGCACCCTGTCACACAGGATTAACAATGGCGAGTCCGTGCTGTGAGAGGTGATGGCTATTAGTCACATCGTACACTGGGCAGCGCTATTAAGTCTGCCTGCACTCACACAGAGAACTTAGCACACATTTAATAAAGGTACCATATGTAAGTAATTCTTGTAAGCCACAGGTAGTTCAAAATATGTACGGACTACCCATGATGTGCAGAAATCTATGTTAGGAGCTGTGTGGGGGTACAAAAATAGAAAAGATGGTTTCCTGGCTACAGGAAGCTTCAGGTCTTGTAGAGACAAGACACTCTGAATAGCAGCACAAAGCACCATGATCTATGTAAAATATGATAGAACTAAGGACATGGATGTTACAGGGATGCAGCCAAAAGGTGTGATTGGAATTAGGTGGGGTTAATGAGCTCTCTCACTTTGGCTCTTTCTTCACCCCTCTCCAACTGGCTAGAATCTGGTAAAGTAAGCAAGGAATCAACCAGAACCTAGAAAATGGGAAGTGGGAGCAGGAACGGGTGGGATCAGCAGTTGAAGTTGATCAGCAAAGCAGACTCTGCTTGGGCTATGAAGGCAACATCAAAAGAGGATGAGCTCTGGAGTCTGAGGACCTGAGTTCAAACCCTTTTTCTGATGGTTACTATCTGTGTGACCTTGGTTACTTCCCTGATCTTCCATTTTCTCATCGGTAAGATGATAGGATTGAACTGGGTGAATTTGCCATATTTTCCAGCTCTAGATTTATGGTCCTCCTTGGAGAACAGGAGTCTAGGAACTTTTGTAAGAGGTAGTTTTTACAGCACTTATCTAATAGGTAAGGCATTAAGTACTTAGACCAGTCATTTTGCTAAGCAATGGGGATATAAATGGAAGCAAGCAAGACAGTCCTTGCCCTTAGAAAGCTTATGTTCTAGTGGAAGAAGACCACATAAAGAGGAGCTGGCAGAGAAAAGGAGGGTGACATGATTTGGAAATAAGAAGTAAAATGGGGGTCTGGAGTCAGGTGACCACTTGCCCTCAAAATAAAAAAATAATAATAATATAGAAGGAAAGGAAATCAATCGCATTTTAACTTCTGTCTCGACAATAGCAAAGTAACAAGTTGACTCAAGGGACAGTAAATGTTAAGGACAGGACCACTGATGCACTTTGAGTCAAAGACTCTCAAATCCTGGTTTTGCCACCAACTTGCTGCCCGATCTTGGGCAGGTCAGCTGTAGGTGTCTGGGCCTCAGTTTCCTCATCTGTAAAATGAGGTAGTTGGAATCGATGCTTTCTATATTCTGAGTTTTCTTTGATCCCTGTCTAGAATTCTTTTCCCAGATTTGAAGTGATTGCATTTAGTGCTTCATGGCTGCCTTTGGACCTTCTCTGCTCCTCATCCCCCACCTTATTGATGTTCTCCCCACTCCTCTATCCCCATCTTCATATTCTACCCGTATCTCAGGATGCCGTCTGAAATCTATTTCAACTATAAGATTCTATGACTTTAAGTGTGGAGTAGAAGGAAAGAAAATAGTTACTTGACTAAACTGTTTTCATTGTTAAACTCAGGTAGAGACAATCATGGTATCCTTCCCATCTCTCTTCAATTCAAAAGCTGTAGCCTGTCAGCTACCTGATTGTACTGTTTCTAGCATTATCATGTCTGCATGTTTCTCTGTAAATATATGACATTTTTGTACTTAACCTGCAAAGCCTGTGTCAGCCTATCATGATTCACCATTCAACTGTAAGCTCTACAAGGGCAGAGCCTTCCTCTAATAAAATTAAGCAAATCACACGGGGCCTCGTACAGAGTTTTATATCCCATGAGTACACGCAGAGCCACAATGATTCATTCTTGCCTAAACCAAAAAAGACAAAATTCGCTCAGATGAGAAGGTAGTTGTCAGTGCCCGGGGCACAGGCTGCTGGGGAAGATGAGGAAGGGAAAACAGGGAGGGTAGGAGTTTACCTGGGGGAGAAGGCATCCTTTTGTAGCTTTCTGGGTCAAATTCTTGTTAACTGGTTGCTTAGCTCAGCTGTCTGTGCTGCTGAAGGACTAGATATAGGGGTGGGAAAGCTGCGGCCTTGAGGCCACATGTAGCCTGAAAGCACCTTCAACACGCTGAATTTCAGCACCGTGAGAAAAAAAGCCTTTTTGCCCCATGCTAGTTAAGGTTCGGGACGTGGTAATACAATAGGTACATTTTCAGAAGGAAAAACATTTGTTCATGTGTTCCTTGGGTTATAGTCAAATCAGTAGAGGAACTGTAGTTAAAGCAGCGCAGAATGACAGAAAACACAGACATGCCAAGTGGTAACCAACTTCAGCATCCCCTCCTCATCAACAGCCTTTAAAAGCCACCAATGGTTTTAAATGCCCTCACAGGCTCCAAGAACAATTTGGTGTCACCAGAGTCAGTTGCTCCAAATGAGCTTGATGTGATGGATGGACAAGGCTAGTCTAATCAGCAAGATTGCTGAGATCAGTCTGGAGCTGGGAAATACAGAAGCATCCACAATTGCTGCTGATCTTCAAGGCAGGAGAGAAAGGATAGGGTTGAATTGTCAGCAGGGCCGCTACAAAAATCAATCGGTTCTTTTTTAAGCTCCTACTCTGTTACAAAATAAGGAAGGAGGTGTTTTTTTTTTCCCCCTCTTGCCCTGATGACCAAGTCACCAATAGTTCTTCAGTTAGCACTGTCAGAATGAGGGAACCATAGGAGTCTAAAATCCTCATTGTTTCCAAGTTTACATAGCCAGTGAAGGATGCAGTCCCAGGCTTTAAACCTCTCTAGTGTCTGCTTCCTGGGTACCTACTGTCCAATTTGTTATCTTGCTACTAAGCTGCCACTAATGAAAAATTCATCTACACCTTCCTAAATATAGATCCTATTCTCTCTAGCAACACTTGTCCAGGCTTATGGGAGGATCCACCATATTTCTTTCACTCCTAAAGCTCAGTATTAGCAAGTCTGGTCCCTCTTGCCCCAACAAGGATAGCCTATTTTATATCTAAACACCCTATTGCCAATTTTAGTTTTTACTCCCCTGGGCTTTCTATATTGAGTTCATTGGTCCATTCTTCAATCCTAAGCTTACTTTCAGATGGCCAAGAAACCTTCTTAATGTGTTAACCAATTTGGGTTTCCATCAGCAGGATTTTTTGCCAAACAGAGGTTTGATTAGATGACCTTTGAGGTCCCTTGCGACTACGAATGCTGTGACTCTGTGTTAGGTAAACTGAGGATGTGAAGCAGTGTAAGCATTTGTGGGCCAAATTCGTTATGTGTGAACTGATCTCAAAATACTATT